ATCTGGGGACTACAAAAAGCTAAATAAAATGTTTACGTTATTTTGGACTGGAATAAAACACCTTGAAAAAGCCTGACATCTATAGCAGAAATGCAATTTAATGGGGATTAAACTAGAGAAGCGCCGATTGTTCAGAGGATGGATTCAAGTTCAGCCCTAACAGAGCGGATGATTTATGGTCTCTGAATGTAGAGGAACACTTTGGCTTCTTCAGAGATGGAAGGAGAACAGCTGAGCTCAAATCTTTCATTTTTGTAAGCGGTTAGACAATAAAGATGGAAGAAATGATGAGTCAGACTGAGGCGTTTCATTTTTGTAACGTCTAATATTAGAGCAAAAAATAGGAGAAAACGTTTGATGGACTTCATCCACTATAAGGTCAAAATGACATGGGGATAAATGTGACGGCAGAGCCTTGTTAAATGTTACATCTTTTGGATTTAGACTGAGTCAGAACTCAGTCTGGCCCAACAAACCAACCCTGCTGGGAAAGAACTTAGTCTCATCATTAGTGTTGCGCCGATGCCATTTTTAGGCCCCGATACCTGTCTGTGCAGCATCGGCAGATACCGATACCATCTGTTTGAAACTGATGTGTGTGTATATATGAAGAACTGCACACTACTTGGATGTAAAATAATTGCCATCATGGCTTTGTCAAGCTGCTGCCTACCTTTGTGAAGCAGGAAAAAGACTAATACAAAGTGAATCCAGTAGAACCTTTTATTGCCTACCTGGAATGGGTGACAATAGTTGAATAAACTTTTGGCTCTAAAAATGGTATCGGTGTCCTATTTGTTGGTACTCGCTGATACCGATACCACCATTTTAGTGCTGGATCAGGGCCCCACCCCATACCGGTATCAGTGCAACACTACTCATCATTCTGCCTTTTTTTTATAAGGTATTGTTACTTTATTAGTAGTATTTTGACTTTAATCACAAAACAGCATTCTGCTTTTATTCATTTTGAGGTTAATTTTAACTCTTTTTATCATCTATTCTTGAATTCAATACTTGACTTACTTTATTCTAGATAACTTCACTTTTTTCTTTTAAACAGGGAAGAAAAAAAGGTTAATTTAAAAAAAAAAAGGTTTCCAACCGATATTCTCTTGTACTAAAGTGCTCACCAATTCCTTTTTCCTTTTATGTTACAACCTCGTTCTGAAATTTGATAACTTAATTTGCTTTACCAGATGCTACACATAATCCCATGATGATAAAGTGGGAAAAAGAGCTGCAAATCATTGAGAATTTAATAAAGAAAATCATTATTTGCTTCCAGACACTCAAAACTGAGCCTGGATGTTTTTTTGTTTTTTTTTGACGAGCACAGCAAAAATCTAAATCCTTGGGTGAAGACTCTGTCAGGGCAAAACATATCTGAAGCTTGAAAAGCACCCAATGTGAATTACCAATAGGGATCTCTTTATAAAATACTTGGATGAAAGACAAATAAATTGAGGAACCATCCAGAGGGTTAACAAGTCAGCCAGACACGACCACTTCAACTTGACCAATATGGACATTAGAAATTATAAAGCCAGAACAAACTAAATTATCTGGCAAGAAAAAAGAGGATGCTGCTCAGTGTGAAGCATGGAGGAGTCAGCATCATGGTGTGGGGATTTACTTTTTTGCAGTATATTTTGTAACTAGCCTGTCTATACAGTAGGCAAGACATTCCTTAAGGAAAGCTGATCCAGAGTGGTTGGGTGGTAGTTCCTAAAGATTCACAGGAAACCCAGCAAGAACCCTCACCTATATTCTATGGAACATCTCTGAAAAATTGCTGCAGATTTAACCTGATCAGCTGAAAAGAACGGGAGATAAAACCATCAGACAAGAAGACTTGAAGTTGAAACGGTGCCAATAAGGCAAAGTAATAAGCAATGGGTGTAAATACCTGAGTACACAAAATCAATAAATAGACATTTTTTTCAGTAATGCATTTTTGATGGTTTATAGATCTTTAAGAAATGCATAACTTTATATACGCTGGAAATAATCTGCAACATAATAAATATGGAAAAACAACACACTGAATACTCTCTGGATGCAGCAAAACATGGATGACTGGAAACCTAACTAGCATCCTCACCAGCTAATGGCGATTAGACAAAGATTTCAGTAGGGAAATTGTTTAATCTTTTCAAATTAGTTTTCAAAATTAAAGATGAGACTTCAATGATAGGTCAGGGGTCAAAGAAAATATGCACAAAGATAAACCAGTTAAGTATTAATAATTTCAGATATGTTTGATATTTTTGAAGGAAAACGTTTTTCTTACACCACTTCAAAAAAAGCATCAACTTGCAGCATCTTATATGACCTCAGGCACAGACTGAAAGTGGGGAAGTTGTAGGTGAATTAAGACAAAGGACACTGACTCCCGGAGGTTTGCAGCACATCACTCAGATGAAGCAACAAATGCAATCCCTGCACCTGGAGAGGTAATTGAATTTCAAAGCCGCATTCTGCCGTTTTCCATATGGTGCTCTGGCATGACCAGGGCATGAGTCCAATAACACGCAATTATAATGGGAGAGCCGGGTGTGAGCGAGTGGAAGTAAAAGGGACAAGAAAAGAGCATTGGAGGATACAGAGCCTTTGCCCACTGTGCAGGAGTGGAATCTATGGTTTCCAAGGTTTATTTTGGGATAAAACACATTTTTAAATTTGTTTTAATTCTTTATTTATGAACACGTTTACTCAGTAAAAAAAAAAAAAGTTAAATATTCAAGGTGCTCTTCAGTTTTCATAATGTGGAAGAACAAATAATGTCTTCATGGGAAAATGAACAGACTCACAATAGTGCAGTGAAAGTGAAGTTTAAAAAATAAAGGAAGTGCTACAGTTCTAATTTTTAATTTACAGCACGCTCAGTTGTTTCCAGACAAAAGCACAGATGACCTGTGGCCTTGTTTCCCACACAATCCTGCGCTGGAATGTGTCCACTGATCCCATTAACACACAGCAGGACTCTGGTTAACACTGCCAAAAGCTGCATAATGCTATACAATACTAGAACAAAAACAAACCTGGGTACAAATCATCAGCTCTCACTTTATCATCGCAGTATTAAACCACTAGATTCCCACTGCAAACAGAAAGCTTTGCAAAGTATCAGCAGGAAGGAGTTCATACAGAAATATACAAACACAGACCTGTGTGTGTGTGAGTGGCGTAGATACCCCTCCCCCTTCCAAAAAAAGTGTTTAAGTTATCATAAAAAGACATTAAGCACAACACACCTAATGTACCCCCCCCCACACTCCCTTTTCACCATGGAGACAAACATGAACATCCGTCAGCCTCTATGATGTGTATAATGTACAAACTAACACTCATTGATGCTTTGTGCATTAAATAGCTACCAATAAGAAAAAAAAAATGTCTTTGCAGCAATACCTGATACAGCCCTTACTTTCTATGAACGTTAAAGGATTTTAATGTGGGTTCTATCAAAGCCTACAGGCTACTTTTGTAAACCTAATGATCGGGAACTTCCAAGGTTTCTCTTTTTAAACCCTGCTTGGCTACCTTTGAACTGTGAGGTGACTGATACTTTCCAGGACTTGCAAGGCATACTCTGGAAAAAATCAGGGTATTTTCTGTCATTTCTATAGTACTTTGCCAGAATTCTATAATTTCTGATAAACAAAAATTAACCTTTAGGCCCCAAAAGTTAATATCAGGAATTTTCATTGTTACTTACCTGGAACTTGCAGTTTAACCTATAAAGGAAGCACACACTGGAACTGAGAGGTCAGTTTTTATAGTTTAAAGAGTGCTTCATTGTGCTACTTTTCCAATCTTGCCCATTTCAGGGTATCTTTATACGGTGGTGTATTCGTTAATACTTTCTAGGACTAACATGTTACTCTAGGTAACTTACAGTTTCAAAATACAACAGGCTTCTTTTTAAGGTGATGTGTAAGATTACACTTTCTAGGACTTACTTTTGGAACCTACAGGTTTATTTATTTATTTTTTTTTTTGGGAGGGACAATGAATCGCCATGTGTTTTTTAACCTTATCATTTTCTTGAACTTTTATGTCCCTTTCAGGCTTTTTCCACTAACTTGCAAGCTAATTTTTCTAATGTTTTATGTGATGATTTGAAGCTTTTTGGAACTTTCATCAGTAATCTCTGGCATTTATTGGTTTGACCTTGAAATTCCCTGTTATGATGAAACTTAAAACTAACTCAAGCAAAGGGACAATGTGTTAATTAAACCTGATACTTTATAAATCCTGCATGCCTTTCTCAAAACTAACAAGAAACTTTGTGGAACAGATAAAACTCACCAGGAAAGTACGTGTTGTGAGGCGTATTGCTACAAAAGTATTAAAATCTAATCTTCAGCTACAGCTGACATTTTAGATAACCATAATTTGCCGCTTAGAATAATGCAAAACCGACGTTGAGTCGCAGTGCAAAGAAGTTGACAGACCTCAAATAAATAGGTAAAAATATGACCAATGATTTCATCACCTTAAAAAAAAGAAACTCTACAGAACCTTTGATTTGTTCAGTTCAGGATTACCCCTCGTTGCTTCAGACAAGCTAATTACCCCCTTTTCTCGGCCAGTAAAGCTCTGATTTAAATACATGTCAGTTAAAAAGACCAGCATCCTGCGTCTAAAGAGTAAAAAGGCACAGAGTTTAAAAAATGAAGTCCCACGAGAGAAACAGGATGAGGATGAACCTGAAAGTCCTCGATGTTGTGGGTGAAGTCCATGTGGGTGACTGACAGACAGAAATGGGGACGATGAATGAGTAGAGCGGGTTGTAACAGGCAGGCGGGGTTAGTGATGGACTCCAGCATGCAGTCAGTTAATTAGGCCCGTGGAGGTTAATGATACTCCTGAAGTCTTGTTCGTGGCTGATGGTAGTGGGGTTAGTGATGCAGGATCACCACAGGTACGGTCGAGTTGGGTCTCTGTATGGTAAACCATCCTCTCTCTCGACGTCGATCGGTTCAGACACTCACCCAGGACTGCTCGAAGCTGTAGGTCCTCCTGCGATCATCCGGGTCTTCTGGAACGTTCTGGGCCTGCTGGAACTCCTGCCTCAGCCTCTGTATCCGGTCATGGTTGCTGGGAGTTAGCCGGTTACTAAGAGGAGAGAGAAAAAAAAAGAAGGCGTAAGATGAATGAGCGTGAAAGGGCCATTGTGAGTGAGTGACCTGGTTCTATCAGCGCCGCAGGAAATGGTCTGCAGGATGGAGTTGTTTAAAGGCGGGCGTGCTTTGTCCATGGATTGATCAAATGCACTGTTGACATTGGCAAGCCGGCCCAGATAGACTCAACCCGGGGAAAAAAATAGAAAAGGATATGATAAGTGAGGGCACAGCTGAGAGCAAGCTTACAGCAGAGCCAACAGCAATATGAATCAAACTAATGTGTCTCTGATGTATTATTCAGAACAATGAACAAAGACTTGTGGCAAACAGTGAACAGTCCCCCCCCACCACCATCGCTCAACCACTGCAGTGCTGCTTTAGTGTACTACTGTACTATTAAACTACAGTAATAAGTACTGGCTTTGCAGGTACAACAGTAGCAGGAGTTAAGGCAAGATGTTTACCACAAACTGTACTAGAGTCACAGAATTCTGCATGCTGATCATTTATGCTTAGGGTTTTTCTTTATATTTATTTTTTGTTTATAAATTTTGAGAATAAACTCAAGTTAGATGTGTTGCTGTGTTGTTAGATGTGTTGAGAATAAACTCAAGTTAGATGTGTTGCTGGGACATTTGTGAAGCATCCTGCAGCAGCAAGATGACCTGAGACTAACGATGCACCAACCACTGAGAAAGAGACAAAAACCCTTGGAATAAATCTGACCTCTTATTGGTGGAGAAAATAGTAAAAGAAAAAAAAAAAAATATATATATATATATTTCTTCCATTTCCTGTCATTGAAAGCAACCACTTTAAATGTCCTTGTGTTTGGTTGTTGAGTGAAGTGAGAAATAAACAGCATGTTTTCACCTTTTTGCTGGATTCAAACCTACTAGTTTCATTAATACATTTTAAATTGATCATTCCTAGCTGACCAGACTTTTCCTTTAAATATTTACTGAAATAAAAGCAAATGTTAAAGGCACACTATGCAACATTTTTCAGTTAATTATTGTGTTCCATAACGTTATGGATGATTAAATTAGTCATTTCAGGTTGAACAAAGGTATTCTCGGCCGCCCTGGTGGTCTGTGGGGGAAATACCGCACTTGCAATTGCAGGAGCACCGACCCGCACCCACAGGCTCAGAAGTCTCGTGAGAGTCAGTCTTGCTTTACGGCGAGAACTGCTAGACGCCCCCAGTTAAAAGCATTCTCGTTGCTAGCACAGTGGCAATCTTTGTGCAGTTATGCTACGTTCACGCAGCAAAAGCAGCAAAATCGCGTCTGCTGCTTCATTTTTGCTGCTTGTACCAGTTAGTTCTGACGCGCGGCTGAAGCAGCTTTGCTGCTCTGGCTGCGTGGTGCAAAAGTGTGTCTGACGCGCGTTGGGCGGAGCTTCACTATCCTTTTTCTGCCTTGCAGCTATATTTGCTGTGATCATTTGGAATAAAGTAGTTTTAATATGTGTTTAAATGAGAAAATACACCTGAAAACGTAATCAGTGCCGTCAGTTCATTCAGATTATTATCCTGCCTTCAATATTTTTTCTGTCGGAGCCGCTCAGACCCCCACATACCAGCGGTGCGCCGACAGAAGGAATCCCTTCATCAGCAGCCTCTGGCCGGGTCACCTCCTCGCGGTTCACCGCAGCAGCTGGTAGGTGTTTTTCATCTAAATAATCCAAACTGCATATTCTGCCAGCAGATTTCTGCATTTTAAGTTAATTTAGGCGTCAATAAACTGTTTAAGAGGAGTGATCAACAGCGCTGTGTCTCTCTCCCTGCGTAAGATGATTAAACGCGCCTTTCAGCTGCTCAGACGCGCTGGGCCTGCTGCTCAAAACGCGCCGCGGGACCTTTTGCTGCGCCTTGACGCGCGTCAACCATTGACTTTGCATGTAAACTCGCTGCTTCTGTCGCGCCAGCTGCGGTGTGAACGCAGCATTAGTCATTCGCTGCTAAGCTCAAAACAACCGCGCCTGGCTTGACGGAGAAACCAGGAGAACAGCTGCGCATATTTATGACAGTGCACTTTTACTTTCGCCCTCTGGGGGGAGCCTTGCTGGAAAATCAACACCGGTTGCATAGTGTACCTTTAAAAGTAGGGATGTCACAATCCAATGTCAATATCAGGCAAAAAAAAACTTTATATCAGATTATATCAGCCTGCAACTAAAATCTCTGATATTAGCATGTTGATAAAAACACTGCTTCTGTCTAAAGCTCATATGACCCATTGGTTGATAATAAATAGGTCAGGTGTTCTTATTGCTCTCTGTTTAAGTAATTTCACCTGACATCCCACGCAATAAAATAAGTATTAAAGTATGTATGATTCATGTTAATATTGGGTCGATATCAGCATCATCTCAGAAATGAAAAAGTCGTGTTAGGAACTCTGTAGTTGAAATACTTTTTAACCTATCACTGTACCAATAATTTCTAGTTATTTTGATATTTTTCTCTTTTGTTTAAAGCAAAACAGACAAAAGATTAATCACCGTGACTGCCTTCCGTAAACACATATTTTGACTGATATGCGTATTTTATTAATCATCAGCATATTTTAGCTCACGCCTCATTGTTTTGCTCATATGGCCTGTAGCAGAGTAAATAAATTACCACATTATTCCGTCTGTCTCATGGTGTGATTGAAGCAAAGTGTCAGGGTGTGTGAAAAAAAAAAAACTGAGCGGCGAGGGAAATGCTGACTCTTAGCTGGACTTTTTAACTTCCTGTTGCCAGGAAATTCCTTGGGACCGTCTTCTCCTGGAAACTCCAAAGGTCAAACCTGCATCTCTTTCCGGGAGCCAAAGATCCCAGGAGTTCTGCTTGGAGAGAAACTTTATGGATTGAAGGTCGATTTTGGACACGAGGGGACGTTTCAAAGCAGGAACGAAAAAAAAAGACTTCGACTGCAAGAAGTCAGGATTCAACCTTACAGAAAGTTGTTTATAGCAAATAGATATATAGCATCACCTCTTGATTAGGTGCATTTTGAAACATTTAATATTACTTTTGAAAATATTTTTTCTTCTTATTTATCTGAGCTTTTAATCAAGAACTCTTTTAGAGGAGCAGTGGTAATGCTTTCCAGAACCAAAACACAAAGATGGACCCAACAACCAAGACCAGCTCTAAATCTCTGCAAGAGTTCTGGTCTATTGTTTTGAATAAGGAAGAAAGCCAAACACTGGTTCTCCTTAACTTGGGATTCGGCAATTAACCAGAGCATCCTTCCCAACAACAGAGAGCAGGAACATATGTTAGAGAATAGGAAAAGTTGCAACTACTCTGGCAATAAATATCTGCTAAAGTCCAGCTATGACAGATTACAAAACAGTATTCCTGCTTCAAAGAAAATACACTTCAAGACTTTTGCACAGCTCCGAGCACCAAATGACTACTTTCATAGAGTCTAAAACAAATAAAAGGCAGCATCATGACCTGCATTGCCTATCAGCTCTACAGGCACACGCAGACAGAAAGCAGAGGCCGTCATTTCTGCTAAAGAGCAGGAACCTGTCAAATCCAATCCTGCATATCTCCATGACATGCAACACAGCCACTAGACTCTGCTGACCCAATAAGCGCTACATGTGTGACCCTTTGACGACGGGTCAAGGCCTCGGCGCTGCCTTTAAAGGCAGAGGAACAGCTAGGAGTGGGAAACGTGTAGACAGATGTCAGTAGGGGAGGAAATAAAGTTTGAGGTCCTTGAAGTAAAAAGGTGCAGCAATCTGTCTGAATATAAGTGTGTTTGATGAAAGAAGCTGGATCTCCTGAGACAGTGACTCAGCCCTGTAATCAAACGCACATCACCATTACAACAACCTATAGACCCCGGCTATGCTGCCTCACAGAGTGGAGTGGGAAAAAATGGAGGGATCAAACATTTTCAATCCTGACAAAGTGCTGGATCAATCAGGAGAAGAGCAACTTCGCTGCCCTGAAACCCCAGAGAGCCTCATCCTCAACCTGACAGACTCACTAAATATCTGCTGCTGCTGCACAACGCTGAAAGGTCACACAGCCAGGTTTTCACCGAGTCTCCAGGACTCAATAACAGGACTGTGACCTGCTGACTGGGCTGCTAGCTGCAGGGGAGCACGTTTACGCCGGGATGCACCGCGCAGGAGTAAGGGTGGAGCTTTGAGGAGACGAAATGTCGGCCATTGTAATCAGGCTCTTCACTTCAGAGCTCGAGTGTTTTCCTGGGATCTAAATCACCATGAAGGAACAGCAGAAGGATCAAAGATAAGGAGCTCTGAGGATGCAGAGAAAGGAAAAAAAAACCTGAACATTGTTCTTCTACAGCAAACTATGTCAGACTTCTAAAAAGAAATATGAAAACAATTTGAATTAAGAAATATAAACAGGCTCAGCGGCATAAATAATGATGGAAATGAAAGATAATTTAAAGCCAGCGAAGCCCCACTAATTAACTTTTTTACAACCCGAACAAGAGACAAGAGGCAGACCTTGATGCAATTGAGTCTTTTGACGTAATGAAACGTTTTGATCAAATAATGAGCTTCAAAACAAAGACGGGGGGAATAAATGAATTACCTGAGAGACTGTTTGTTGTGCCATCATTTTTCACTCTGCTGAATGAGAAAAAAACAGTGTTTTTTTGTTGCCAGAGTAAAGCATCACTTTATTCACCATCTATGGCAGGAAACCTTCTAAATTATTTACTGCGATTAGAATAATCTTCCACTGTTTTTTAAGAACCTAATTCAGTTAAGTTTTATAACTTTAGATTAGTCCGGATGTCATTTATTTTATAAAACTATTTTATAAACAAGTACAATCCATTATCAGCTCTGCAGACCTTCTCTGCTACGTTAAAGAGTTCATTTATGCTTCAGAATCATCAAATGTGACTGAATTACTCTATTCTGCAAAGAAGAAGGGAAAAAATTCCCTTCAAAGTGACGTAAGAGACTCATCACCTAATTATTGCAAACACTCATTGCTGCAAAAGA